TATATATATATATATATATATATATATATATATATATATATATCTGGCATAAAGGTTTCATTTCTGTTTCCTTTTTCTTGCCAGGACAGGTCCCTATCCACAGGGAATGTCAAGGTTTGAGGGCTGTATCTCTAGCAGAATCTCACTACCTGTTCAGCCTTCACTATGTCACTTCCAGAATGGTGGTTCTCCCACTTGGCTGTAGTTTCTTGAGGGCTGGGATGATGTCCCCTTCATTGTGCGTCCACCAGTACCTAGCACAGTACCTGACTTCAGGTGGCATTTTAAAAAAGTTTTTGAAGTAATACCTCCTGTTTTATAGTCAATCCCTATTTGAAGATGTGCCTGTCTGAGAGAACCACTCTCAATCTCATTCCACAGGGCCCCCACATAGSCACAAGTTTAGAAAACTTCCAAAGGAGACTCACAATTCCCATTGCCTTCAGCTTAGTGGCCTCAGACTATCAAGACCTTCCATGCACCTATTTTTTCTGCATGGTTTCCTTTCTTAACCTTTCTCAGTACCTACCTGGCCTGAGGATTTACCCTCTGCTCTGCTTCCCCACTTGCTTTTATTTTTGCTATTCCTTTTGCTGACTAGTCCATTTGGGATTTTCTTAGTCTAGCCTGAGTCACACCTTCCTATGAATCCCTCTCCGGCTACCACCAAGGGTCACTGGCACTCCTTTATTTGAATACCCAGAGCATTAGTTGTCAGTCTTTCATCTTGGCACTTTAAACTAACTTGCTTTGCATTTAAATCTTTCATGAACTTACTACTTGTCTTAACTGAATTTTAAACTATAGAGGCTTTATGTTAAGAATTTAGGTTTGCAGTCCAGTAGTGTAGAAAATAGAGTACCCTTCATCGGTATTTGTTTCAATTCATGACACTAAAATGAACAAGTGAGTTATATCCTGTGTTTCTCCTAAACCAGGGATACGCAATGAAGTCCACTTCTTCAGTTTATTTATATTACTGAGCAATTTCTCGGACCTGGGCAGTAAGCTCAGGGCTGTAAATACAAAGAATAGGCAGATCTCTACTCTGGAAGTTAGTTGGGAAACTTAGTCTGTTTCCCAGAGTAAGTTATTATAGATAAGCAATGTTATACAATAAAATTTGGTAGTGTACTGAAGATACAAAGTGCTATGAAGGCAAATAAAATAAGTGTTATTATGCTTAGTGGGGTCAGGAAAGGTTTCTAGAGCTAACATCTGAACTGGGACTTCTACTGGCCTTCACAAACAGAAAATTAAGAAAATGAATTTATTCCAGGCAAAGGAAGACGCTTGGTGAACAAAGATCACAGAAATGTGAAAGGACAAGTAGTTAAGGAAAGACTAGGCGATGGTGGCCAGAGCAGTATAAGTGAAAAGACTAGACGATGGTGGCCAGAGCACTATAAGTGAAGGGGCGTGGTGGGAGACAAAGCTAAAAGATACAGGATAGCCAGAGAGAAGAGCTTCCACTAGATGCCACGTCTGGGCAGCAAGGTTTAAGGGTAAGAGATTGAKACTGTTCACCATTGTAATGGCGGTGACCGTAAAAAACGGATTTACGGTCTTGTGGGCATGAAGATTACTAGCAGGGTAATTCTAGACATCCTGTGGAGGCAGAGTCACGCGCTATGAATGGGGACGTGGCGTCCGGACAGCCGCGCCCACACGCCGCCCAAGCACCAGGCTGGGGCCTGCAGCAGGCCCAGGGACTAGACTTGGGCGGGAATCAGCTCCACGCAACTCGGCGCGCTCGCGGGGACGTGGCGCTTTCCAGCCTATCCGGGCTACGCAATTGTGGGGCCAATGGCTACTCGGGAAAGCTCTGCGTCGACGGGGTGCTTGTTAATGATTGGTTGGGAAGCCGCGGCGAGGCGGATGAGGGCGGGGCGCGGACTCGCTTCCGGTTGGGCGGTGCTTTCGCGTGTGAGCTGAGCCGGTGGGTGAACCGCGGCCACCGTGACTTGGGCTGTGAGGCTGCGAGAAAGGTAGGTATCGTGGTGCTCAAGCCTTGTGCCGCCGCCGTGTCCTTATTCGCTTTCTTTCTGTCCTGGATCCTTGCTGCTGGAGAGGCGTGGGATTTTTTTTCTTTCTTAACTCGTGTCTCTGCTGGTGCCGGAGTCCAGGCCTGAGCCTTTCCAGGATTCCAGGGCCCGAGGCGCTCCGCTTGGGTTGGAACTCCCAGCTAGCATTCCCGCACGCTGTGAGTGCTGCGTCGCGTCAAACTTTGGCTCCCTAACTCATGTCTTGTTGGGTACTGTTTTGTGCCTGGCTTGCCGTGTCCTTGCTCTCGGGTCCCTGATCTACACCCTTCACAGTGTACCTCGGACTAGAGGGTCACTTTTGTTTGCCTCCTGAAGGTCGGAGAACTGTAGGGAAGGGTTATTCAATCTGCTGCCTGCCACCTCCCACTCCCCAGCCAGCGTTGATCTGCCAGCCCCGCCCCAAGGCCGCATCCCGGGAGTTGGGTGCCACTGCCAAGAAAGTCGTGTTCGCTGACTTAAAGGGTGTAGGAAGAGGGTGGAAATTACGAATGAAGACCCTACGTGATTTTTTTTTTTGTTTTAGAATATCTTATATAATTGCAAAGAAAAACAGAAATTTTTGAGCTCCGGTGTTTGGTGCATAGTTGAGTCAGCAACGAGAACGGTCTTAAAAGCATTATTAAGGAATTGCTCTTTTTTTTTAACCTTGTTTTATTGCTTCCAACCCTAGATCCCAGTTCTGACTTTATCATACTGTGTTAYGAAGTAAACTTAATTCCCTACAGCTGCCATGATTAAGAGTTGTTGAGTGGTTTGAAGTTTGGAAAGCTGCTTTTGTATCAAAGAAAAAACTTCCTGGATCTCCTGCTAAAACTTTTGGGCTTTTTGTTTGAATTTCTAAGTGTACATAGTCCCCGATAAGTGGATTTTTGTTTGTTTGTTTTATTTGAGAACTGAAATGCATTCACTTCCTAAGTTGGACCATAAAGTCAACGTTAATGAATTGTGAATAGGTTGCATCTAGTTTTTTTTTTTTTTCCTAGTGTTTTATTGAGCTTTGGGAGTAGAGCTTTTAGCCAGAATCTCTGATAAATTAGTGTTTGCCGTGGAAAGAAAYTTGACCTAAGACAAATGCATTTTTTTACCTCATTAGATGAGCTAACCAAGTATCAAATAATAGTCATCACTGAAGAATTTGTGGAACAGTTGCAATGAGGGATCAGAGATCATCTGTGAATTGTATTTGTAGATAAAATGATTTCCCTAGGCCTGATCTGAGTATTCAGCAATTCAAGGGTTTCTATTTTCTTTTTTTCTTTTTCTTAGAATTACAACTAGGAGAGCCATAAACTACAAAAATCAAATGAGTATTCTAGAGTGTATGGTGCTCAATAGAGCTTTGAAACCAATGTCTCATCATTATTTGCTTCCATTCATCCAGTAAAGTATCAAGACTGTAGCAGTATCTATACATTCATCACACAATCTGTACATTGGTACTACAGATTTTCTGTAACATGGAAATGCCAGGGATGTTGGAGGGATAGCAGTATAGTCAGGAATAGCAATTAGAAATGCCTGTTAGGATATAAGGCCCTAGATCCTGCCAGGAGTGATAGCTYATGCCTGTAATCCCAGCAGCTCAGGAGACTGAGGCAGGAGGATTGCGAATTCAAAGCCAAAGCCAGCCTCAGCAACAGTGAAGCACTAAGCAACTCAGTGGGACCCTGCCTCTAAATAAAATACAAAATAGGGTTGGACTGTGGCTCAGGGGTTGAATGCCCCTGAGTTCAATCTCCAGTACCCACTAAAAAGAAAAAGGCCCTAGATCCTCTCTCTCTGAGCTTTTCAATATGGATGTTGCTGATGTTGCAATTTATGTATTAGAGTTAAGACAGCTGAAATAACACTTTTGGAAGTAGYTGGCTTTTAGCCAGATCCAGTAAGGGGAATTGGGTTGGAGAACACAAACAGGCAGCACCATAGTACTGCCCAGTACTACCCACTTAATCTGATAAAATGTTATCTAAAAAGTGCAAGACAGTGCATTAGAAACTATAGAGGGAGAAAAATTTATAATAGCTAGATGAAGAAATKCTCCCAAATATGTAGAATCTGTAGGGGAACTAAGGAGATAACTTAAAGTAGCCTGTGATCATGATTATGGAGTGTTACAAACAAATGTAGAAGAATTAGTACTGACCACTTCCAGCTTGAGTGATCATAGTAAATAGGTCTTTTCATCTAGAATTTTAAAACAATTTATAGGCATTTGACCCTGAGGAAAGGTTGAGCTAAAATAACTACCAAGTTCTGAAGATTTCATGTGTATTATTACCAATACACAAAATTAACAAACATCAAATCTCTTGTTTCTGTATTTTGCATAGCACTCTTATAATACTTAATTATGTATTAAAGTTTCATCAACCAAAAGGAGACGTTTTTCTTCCGGAATTTCTAGAACTTTTTTCTTACAAGAAAATTTTTGATTTTGTAGCCAGAAAAATTTCAGGTTCCTGCTGGGTTGCTTTGATTATAGAACTAATGAAGCTTGGACCATTAGTTTCCTTATCAGGTATTTTCCTTCAACAGCTAAATTTTGTACTTTTATATACTTAACAGTCTTGTAAATGAATTCCCACTGCCACAATTAATAAGAATGTATTAATRAACTAATATAAATTCACTGTCACTAGAGAAATGTTAAATAAGTGGCTTGTCAGTGTTATGTCTCCTGTCAAATTATGAAGGATGACATTATTTTTTCAGATTTTATAACCTGGGCCTTGGTACAGTTGAGTATAGGTAAATTGCTGTCAGGCTGTTAACCATAATCCCCAATTGAAGTAGACACTTAAGCAGTGAGATTCCATTTTGGCTACATTATGGAGAAATGCCTTTTCTGCTGAATATCCAGCTCAGAGAACTGGAATTTTACCACCACACCCATTTCTCMCACTGATTAAAGTTGAGCAATGGGTCTATGGTCAACCGTAATTGGGGAATCACTTATTGTTAATATTCCTGAGAAGTTGAATTTAATTTTAAACATCTGAATTTCCTGAAACAGTCTACTTTCTGTGATCAATGGATTTTTTTTAATCAAAAGTAGGAAGGAAGGAATGAGGATAGAGATAAGAATTTAGAGCTTTCAAGGAAATTTTTGCATATATAAAATAGATTTCATATGACTCATTGTTATTAAAATCAAACTTATGCCATTGATCTTTTCTCCTTTAGATTACTGAAATAATTCATGATAATAACTTTGCAGAAGACCATTATTGGTGACATACTACAAAAGGATGCTAGCTACTTGATAACCTTTTCTGTTCTAGGCCTTTAGTTTGTGACTCTCTAACATGGTGCTGTCCAGTAGAAGTATAATACCAGACACCTGTGTCATTTTAAATTTTCAGAGGAAAATTTTTAAACAGGTGAATTAATTTTGATACATTTTATGTAATGTAATACATAAAATAGTATACTTTTGATATAAAATATAACACTATAAATGTGGCATTAACCACATAAAGTAAGGTATTAGGATTCATGTGGATAATGGCTAGACATTTTTTTCTTTTTTAGAAAAAAAAATATTAGATGCTGCTGAGTGTGGTGGCTCACACCTATAATCCCAACAGCTTGGGAGGCTGATACAGGAGGATCTCGAGTTCAAAGCCAGCCTCAGCAATGGCGAAGTTCTAAGCAATTCATTGAGACCCTATCTCTAAATGAAATACAAAAATAGGCCTGGGGATGTGGCTCAGTGGTCAAGTGCCCCTGAGTTCAATCCCTGATACTGAAAGTGTGTGTGTGTGTGTGTGTGTGTGTGTGTATGATACTGTGAAAAATGTGTGTGTGTGTGTGTATACATGATACTACTGTTGATAAAGGAGGGACAGAATTTTAGAGAAACTTATAGGATATTTGATATTGGGAGAAGGAGAGGTTCATTTTTCACAACCCTTGGTTTACCTTCTAGATCACATGTTAGAGCTCATACAGCTAAGTTTTCATTTGTATGTCATAAATTTTCCTAATATGTTAATTGTTGATGTGTAGCTGTGCTGAAGTCGGTAGAGAAGTGAGAAGGGTCCTTTAGCTTGGAGCTTTCTAACTTTTGAGTTCAGTGTGGTTAAAAAAAGAATGATAGAGTTCAGATTGGGGTTCAGAAATGAACTCTATTAATGTAGTTCTTCATATGCCTTGTATGAAAAACTTATTTTATGCTGCTGCTTTTCATTTTTCCCACATAAAATATCCTTTGTCTTATAAGGATATCCTTTGTTTCTACTTGAAATTTTATATGTATATGGATTTTCTATTCTTATGTGTCTATATTTTCTATTCTTATGTGTCTATATTCATAAAACAAGAGTCTGATAGCCAGGAGCTGGTATATGTGGGCACAAAGAGCTTTTCCCCCCCCAAATAGAAGTTATTTAAAGTGCAGATTTTTGCATTGCTTATTGCAGAGAGGTGAAGATTAGGTAGGACCATTGGCCTTGTCCGTCAGGTGGTCCTTGATGAATTTTTTAGGCAGTTTCATCAATGGTAAGATAGAAAGCCAGATTTTAGGTRATGGTGGATGTTGAAGCAGAGGCAGCAGTGTACACTCCTGTGTGTATGCGAAAGCAAGCTGGAAGAAATAACAGTCTAGGAAAGACTGATTTGGGATGGTAGAGACTTGAGAAGTGTTGATTAATGAAATGTGGGAGCCTGTAGGGAAGTGGGGATGGCAAAATTAAGAGAGTAGAAGGAAAGAAAAATGAATACATGATCAAGCCAGATCTTTATTGTCTTTGGGATTCTTATGTTCTTGTATCAAAATATTGAGTCAGACATAAATGTAGTATTCCCTCTAAATCACAAAGTGAATCAATTTGTTGTATTTCTGTATGCTACATGTCTCCAAACTGTACAGTTTCTACTCTTTCCAGGACCCAAGTGTTTAGCCATTTATTCATTTTGTAATATTTGGGRTTTGCAAGAGTTGTTAGGGTATTATGCTGTATTTTATTCTAAAGACATATTTAACCACTTACAACATTTTTCTAAACATGAAGTTCCCTTATTAGTAGTCATAAGGGAAATCCCTTGTTACAGTGACTCCTGATTTTACTTGCCTCTGAAAGCTTCTGGCATAGCTATTGCTTGATCATGTTACCAACATCAACAACATATCCTGTTCCTCAATTCATAAAATTGTATTTATCTAAAGAATTATTTAGTTTTAGGTAGAAATTTCATTTTACCTTAAAATAAAGATTCTAATAGCCAACTTTGATGTTGAATTTAAAAGAGCCACTAAGTCTCTGATTTTCTCTGTACTGTTCAACTGATGTAACTGATAGACTAAATTATTGAAGGGTCAGCTGAAATGTTATTTGCCTTGACCAATTTTTTACTTAAAAAAATTTTATCTTATGTTTTAAAGATAGATATGCATTTTTCCTTCAATCTTTTGAAATAAGCTTGAAAATATCTGTTTTGCCACCTACTATTGAAAAGATTTTTTTAATGTTTAAATTAAAAGGTAATACATATGAGAGAGTGCTTATTTACAAAAATTAAATGTGCACTAAAGTTCACTTCCATAGTGGTCTCACTGACCCACTGCACTCCTGTGTCTTTTCCCTTGAGCCTAGAGATTACYACTGTTTACACGTGGGTGTTTGTTTGACCACCCCATTTTCTTGTGTGTGTTATATTTTATATATATTTAAACAACCTGGGGAGACTCTTTACTTTTTTTTGCTTTTATAAATGATATCTTGAGCTGAGCGCTGTGGCACATACCTGATATCCCAGTGGCTCGGGAGGCTGAGGCAGGAAGATCGAGAGTTTAAAGCCACCCTCAGCAACTTAGCAAGGCCTTAAGCAACTCAGCCAGATGCTTTCTCAAAATAAAATATAAAAAGGGCTGGGTGTGTGACTCAGTAGTTGAGTGCCCCTGGGTTCAATCCCCCAGTACCTTCCTCCACCTCCACCYCCACCCCCCCAAAAAGAGAGATCTTGACATTATTTTTTAAATTGCTTTTTATACTTAATATATCTTGGTGAGTGCTCTTTCACTGAAGATAGATCCACTTCATTCTTTTTAAACTCTGTGTACTTTTCCTTTATGTAGATTTAATGTCTTACCAGTTCTCTAGTATAGCTTGTTTCCAATTATTTTATTTTATTTTATTTTCTTAAACTTTTATTTATTTTTTTAGTCATACATGACAGTAGAATGCATTTTGATATATAATACATACATGGAATGTACATACATCAATCATATTGTCTATTCTATTCTGCTGCCCTTCCTATCCTCCCTACTCCTCCCCCCTCTCCCATCCTTTCTCTCTATCCAATGTAATGTGACACACTTTTTTTTCTTTTTCTCATTACAACATCATATATGTATTCTGTATAACAATGGGGTTCTACTTCCATCTTCTGTGCAACTCTCCAATTATTTTAATAACTAAAAATTCTCATGCTGGTTGCAGTGGTATGCACCTGTAATCACAGCTACTCAGAGAGACTGAGGGAGGAGAATCACACGTTCAATGCTAGCCTGGAAAACTTTTCAAGACCCCATCCCAAAATAAATTAAGAGGTCAGTAGCTGCGGTTAAGTGGTAAAGCACCCTAAATTCAATCRCCAGTACCCAAAAATTAAAACAAAAAACAAGCTGTCATCATTGAACATCTTCTTATGGTATCTTTGTACAATTTGTGTGTTTTGATGGAATGGAATGAAAATGTTGAGGAAGTTTCAGAAGTATAACCAAATCTAACATTGGTGGGAGCAGTATAAGAAAAATAACACTTTCTACCCCCTTTCTCTATGGATCTCGTGATCTTGCTTTCTCCTTGCTTCCCCTGATGGATTTTCATCAGTCTTAATTATCACATCATTGGGTAACAGGTTCTTTTTTTGTTTTTAATATTTTTAGTTGTAGATAGACACAATAACTTTATTTTTTTATGTGGTACTGGGGATAGAACCCAGTGTCTCACACATGCCAGACAAGCGCTCTACCACTGAGCCACAACCCCAGCCTAACCATCTCTTTTGAGAATGGGTGCTTAGGGAGTAACCACCCCTGATTACCTCCTTAGCTACCTTTCTTTTTATCTTTTTCCTTTGTATTTATTTTTTAGTTGTAGTTGGACACAATGTCTTTATTTTATTAATTTTTATGTGGTGCTAAGGATTGAACCCAGGGCCCCACATGCCAGGCAGTGCTCCACCGCTGAGCCACAACCCCAGCTATCTTTTTTTTCTTTTTTAAAAATATTTTTTAATTGTCAGTGGACCTTTATTTTATTTATTTATATGTGGTGCTGAGATTCAAACTCAGTGCCTCACACKATGCTAGGCAAGAACTGTACAATCCCAGCCCTTTAGCTATATTTTTTTTCATTTTATTGGCGCTGATCTATTTACTCTGTAATGCTTTCTACTCTGATGCTGTATCCTCTATCAGTCCAGGACTTCTCCCTTCCCCTGCTTTCCCAGTGATTGTATCCTGTGCCCTTTATGCTCTTTCATAGCCTGGAAGTTGTTCATGGAGGCCTCAGCTTGTGCCTTTCTATATAGTCAGCTCTATAGGTTGTATTGTAATTAAACTTATTTCTCTATTTGCTTTCCTTTTTATAGGATCTTTATATAACATATTCACCTTTAGCTGTACTGGGCTTTTTTTTTTTTTAATTCAAAGGGCTGTATAAATCCAAGTTAATATAACCTACGTTTTTAGCTATTAATTGGGACTTACAAGAAAAATGGACTTACATTGAAAGGTGTGTAATATATTGGGATGTTTGATTTCCTTATCCCCTGACTCAATTCACTTCCTTCATTCTGGTTCCCAAAACTTTGAGACAGGATCAAGATAAGGAATTTTATAGGGATTCTAAATTGAGAACTTGTAGAAGTTATGCTGAAAGAATTTTTAAATTTTTATCAGTATTTACATAGAAAATGTGAATGCTTAGACTAGCTAGGTCCATTAGTGACATCCTGAGGAAGGTGAAATCTGTGACTGGTTTAAAATGCTGATTAGGACAGGGTGTAATTCATTTAACTCTCCTGTGGTACAGGATCCCTGTGTACTGTAGCCTTCTATTAGTTTCCTAGGGCTGCTATAACAAACTGTTACAAACTTGAGTGAATTAAAAGAATAGAATTTTATTGTTGTTCAGTTCTGGAGGCTAAAAGTTCAAAGTCATAGGTGTGGACAGGACCATAATCTCTGAAGACTTTAGGGGAGGATCCTTCCATAGCTATTCCTGGCTTCTGCTGTTAACAGTCTTTGGCATTTCCTGACATGTAGATTCATCACTTCAATCTCTTCCTCTTTCAGTATATGGCACTCTCATTCAGTGTGTCTGTGTTCAAATTATTGTCTTATAAGGACTCCAGTCTTTGGATTAGAGCCTACTCTAGAGTAACATGACTTCATTTTAACTTGATTACATCTGCAAAAATCCTCTACTTCCAAATAAAGTCAGTCAAAGGTACCAGGGATTAGGCATAATGGGAGATGAGTGAGCAATAATGTGAAATTGCAAAAACTTATTCTCACTGGGGGCAGGAACATTCAAAGTCCATGTTCTACTGATGGAAGATTAATTTAAAAATGAAAACCTAGGGGCTGGTTTGTGGCTCAGTGGTAGAGCCTTGCCTGGTATGTGTGAGGCACTGGGTTTAATTATAGGTACTGCAAATAAATAAATAAATAAATGTCCATCGATAACTACAATTTTTTTCTTTAAATGAAAGCCTAGGAAAACCTTTCCCCTTGGTTTTTAAATTTTAAGTTTTTTGTTTGTTTTTACCTCTATGGCCTTATCCTCTGGACATTACTGTGGGATATCTATAGAGTGTGCTAAACAGGTATTTAACTCAAAGCTTTTCTGCAGATTTTTAGTCATATTTTTTCAATAAAATGTTCCAGCCTTGTGCTTGTTCATGAAATTCCTTGTGATTGCAGAGCAGCAGTGTGGAGGTCTGGAGAAGAGCCTGGGAGTCTGTATTTGAATAGTACTCCTTGTGGTTCTTATGCTTGAGCAAGTTTGAGAAACCCAACTGTACAAAGGGATAAAGAAGTTCTTATGACAGGACCATCTAACTGGTTTGGTCTTTGATGGAGATTCAGGGTTGAACTGGGACTTGGGAAAATTGGTGTTATAGAACAAGGAAACTATTCAATATTTCATTAGTTCCTAATGGGATGGTCATCAGAATCATGGGAGAAGCATTTAAATATACAGATGCAACTTTGGAGATTCTAAATCAATGGGGAAACTTACTTAAAAACGCTTCCTAAGTGACTAATAACCAGCCAAGTTTGAAGACCAGACCACTAATATAGTATAAAAAAGTAAAGGATTTGGAGTCAGGATTTAAATCTTGGTCCTATGACTTTAAACTGTTATCAACTCAGACAAACGGATTAAAGTTCTATTTTGATGTCTTTTAAAGAGACACTACTTACAAAAAGATTTTAGCTATAAATTCCTTATCAACTTAAAATCGATGAAGAACACTGGTAAAAATTTCCCACCATCATAATCTTGAGATTTCAATAATCTTCCATATTTATTGTGTGGATTAAATAAAATACTTGGATAATATAACTGACTTGCATAGACTTGTATGTATATTAAAAATTTAACTGGTACATGAATGTTTTCTTGTTTAATTGTTAAGCTTATTGTCTCCTTTATCAACTGCCTTTTGTTTTCTTAAGATCCGATTATCATGGACCTGCGACAGTTCCTTATGTGCTTGTCCCTGTGCACAGCCTTTGCCTTGAGCAAGCCCACAGAAAAGAAGGACCGTGTACATCATGAGCCTCAACTTAGCGACAAAGTTCACAATGATGCTCAGAGTTTTGATTATGATCACGATGCCTTCTTGGGTGCTGAAGAAGCAAAGACCTTTGATCAGCTGACACCAGAAGAGAGCAAGGAAAGGCTTGGGTAAGGTGCCAGATCTCAAGGGGCTACTTAGGGTAATACCATTCTTTGTAAATCAGCTGATTCTTTTTTTCTTTTCTGGTTTAGTCACCACTAAAGTTATGYTGAACCCTGTCTTCTGAAAGCTAACCACAGAGTTGCTACCACTAAAATTTAATTAAGTGCCTGCTTTTCTTCWTTTCTCCATTGAATAACAATTTGTATCTCATTCTACAAAGCGAAATCATTTTTTAATAAAAGTACCAGGTACTGCAGGACCCATCTTGAACTGTATTGTCTTGATCTCAGAACATTACATGGGCCATCTTTATCTCTGCTGCTTTTAATTTTGAAAAATAGTTTGTGACCTTTTTATTCATTATTGCCCAAACCTAGTCTTTGGGAAAAAATTGCAGATTTTACCCCTGGACTATCACTTTCTGTACAGTTTATAATTTTCAGAGTGTCCTTCAACACAAGCCAAAGCAACCTTGCCTTTTAGAGATCATAGCAAGTAATGGTCTTATTGTCATAGCTTCAGTAATGGCTGGGCCATAGTCAGGTTCTGTGACTCTCTGAGCAGATAACCTTTCACCTAGAGAGTTTATTTAGTAGAATCCCAGCTGATTATTTCTAATTGGAGGTCCTAGAATGTCCTTTGGGTCTTCTAAGGCCTTGCTTTAAAAGAAAAAGTCAATTTTGTGAAAAAAATTTTCTCTTCAATGAGCACTGTTGGTGCAGCTTTCTGAACTCTACTCCAGAGATTTGTGTGGAAGTTGTACCACTCAGTAATTTCCAAAAATATTTTGCCATTGGGGATAGTGCTATGATATAAGGCATTAATATAGAGTTTACTTTATACTTCAATTTAACATTYTTTATTTGTGTTATCTGCTGACTAAAGGGTACAATATTTTATTCTTCAACAGTAACAGAAAGTAATTAAAAGATTTTGCTATACAACCAGCTATCCCAAGACATTTGAAAGTAGATATAGTTGGATGCAGTGGTAAACTCCTATAATCCCAAAAATTTAGGAAGCTGAAGCAGGAGGATTGCAAGTTCAAGGCCAGGCTGGGCAATGTAGTAAGACCCTGTCTAGTAATAAAAAGGGTTGAGTACTGTAGAGTGCCCCTGAGTTCAATCCCCACTACCATCAAATAAAGGAAAGAAGCTAGATATAGAAACCATATATCAGCCAGGTGCAGTGGCACATGCCTGTATTCCCAGCAACTCGAGAGGCTGAGGCAGGAKAATCGTGAGTTCAAWGCCAGTCTCAGCAGATTAGCAAAGCACTTAGCAACTCAGTGAGACCCTGTCTCTAAATAAAATATTAAAAAAAAAAAAAAAAATGGCTGGGCATGTGGCTCAGTGGTTAAGCGATGTAGGTTCAAAAAAAAGAAAGAAACCATCTATCAAAAAGTCAGTCTTGGGCTGGGGTTGCTGGGTTCAATTCTCAGCACCACATGTAAATAAATAAAATACAAAGATCCATCGACAACTTAAAAAAAAAAAAAAGTCTTCTTGTTAGGTTGCTTTTCTAACTTTGAGAGACTGTGCTCACTTTCAGTTTTAATCATGTAACTATATAACATTCCATGCTGAAAATAGAGATTCATGAGGGTGTTCTCAGCCTGTATGTCATTGCCTGTTAATATTGTACCTGTCCATCCTACATTCAATCTGCAAAAATTGCTTCACAGAATTACCCTTAAATAATGAAGGTCCTTTAGGTTTGGTCATTTAAGGTAGATGTTCTGTCCTTTGCAGGCAGTAGAACAGTTTTGTTAGCAGTTTTCAGTAGAGGAAAAGATGTTCCTTTCTGTTCTCAGCAAATATCAAAGGTTCAACACATAAGTGGACTGTATTTAATTAGAATATGAATGAACTAAGTACTGTTTGCTTCTCCCAAATTTTGGAGATAGTGACAAATATCCCTAGTATATGCAGTAACATACTATTGGAAGCAAAAATCCTAGGTTACTTAAAAAAAAAAAAAAAAAAAACTTATTTACTATGGCATTTCTAAACATTGTTTTGGCAGGTAACTATATACCAGAAGTTGAAAACTAGATTTCCCCCTTTTTTCTCATCTGTCTATAAGGCAAATAATTAAGAGAGTTGTAGATGGACACATTTATTTTATTTATTTTTTCATGGTGCTGAGAATCGAACCCAGTGCCTCACACATGCTAGGCAAGCACTCTACCACTGCGCTAGAACTCCAGCCCCCAATTTTAAGCAATTTTAACATACAACTATTCACACCTTTTTCTTGTTAATTAAGATTTGACAAATAAGAAATTTTTTCTGCATGTATATTATCATTCTCCCTCTCCTTGCAAAGCACTGATTTTTACGTATGTATCCTTCAAATGAAGGTTTTTGTTTTGAGGTGGTATGCCTTAATATTAAAAAGTTCTTGTCCTTGATATATTTACTACAGAAATGAACTATAGCAATTCATGATCTTTTGTGGGATCACAGGCGCAAACACTTTGGAAGTCTAATGAAAACTAAGTATTCTTCCTTAAAAAAGTACACATGTATGGATCTATACATATAAAATTTTGCATACCCAAAATTTCAGGACTATTATACCTCCTTCTAGAGCCATTTATTGACCAAATTTTTAAAAACAGGGTCAGCTTTATGCCACTTGAAATGTGTAGAGACATGTGTTACCTTGTAACTGTAATAACAGGAGGTCCACAATTGTATTATATCTGTCCTAGAATAAGTGCTGGTTAGTGGCATCATAACTATGGTTAGTGGCATCATAACTATGTCTATAGGATTCTCCACTGTCATAGTATACTATGCCATTAGCTTCATAAATTAACACAAGCTTTTAAAGATCAGAATTAAGAGCTTCATGCCTTAAATAGGATGTGCCTGATATACTTTCATAACTAACTGCCTGCAAGCTGCATGAACAGCAAGACATTAATCACTTCTTTATTAGAGTGTTGTCATATACATGTATGTGCATATATGTTCTCATGCCAGACCATGTGTGTCTCACAAAGTAAGAAATATTGCTGGGCATGGTGGTGCACACCTGTAATCCCAGCAGCTTGGGAGGCTGAGACAGGAGGATCACAAGTTCAAAGCCCCCCCCCCCCCAGCAATACTGAGGCACTAAGCAACTCATTGAGACCTTGTCTCTAAATAAAATACAAAATAGGGCTCAGGATGTGGCTCAGTGGTCAAGTGGCCCTGAGTTCAATCCCTGGTACCAAAAAAAACATACATTAAACATTTGGGATATTTCCATTGACTAAAATGCTATTCAACCACTTTCATTTTTAAAAAGCCCATCTTGAATAGTCATATGTCTTTTATTAATCTGGGTGATACACTTCAGGCTATTTATAATAGTTTAAAAATATCATTTGAGGGTAGAAGTTTTGATACCTTGCCATTTTTTTCTTAATAGTGCAATGGTATTATTGGTAGCCAATGCCATTTTAATAAAAATTGGATTCCATTATAGATAATGCAGAAGTTTTCAATACTGGYATAACTTAATTCTGTTAATATTGATTAAATTCTATAGATTTAAAGTTGCCAAAAAGCCAGGTATGGTGGCACATTCCTGTAATTCCAGATAYTGGGAGGGATGAAGCTGGAAGATCACTAATTTGAGGCTAGCCTGGGCAATTTAGATGCTGTCTCAAAATAATATTTAAAAAGGGCTGGGGATGCAACTCAGTGGTGGAGCACTTACCTAACATTTCTACTACTGCAAAAAATGAGTGAAGTTTTTAAAAAGTTCTGTTATTATGTCCGTGTAATTAAAGGAGGATATATATTAACATTTTAGAGTTAAGGCTACAAGATTACATATTCTGTGAAGGAAAATGCTTGTTATTTGTAGGGTTTATGCAATATGCAATTATGGCTAATGCCATATTAGTATCAAAATTGTATTCACAGTGTCACCAATACTCTTTGATCTAATCACTTTCTTATATTAATGGAATTAAGACAAACTAGGAAAAGCCATCATTTATTACCAGGGGACAGTCTTTTTCAGTCAAGCATAGTAGTAAGCTGAGATTTCACATCTTTTTGGAAGTTTTGATTGTTTCTGTTCACATAAACTTATTTATATGGCTTGATTTTTCTGAGCCTCTATAAGTAAATGATTGCATCTTTAAACAGGAATTTTCATATCATGAACATATTTTTAAATCCCTAAGTTAAGATGTTCAGATCTGGAAGAAAGAAGCTCACAAAGCAGAGAAGTAGATTGATTAGCTTTATAATCTTCACACTAACCCTCTCAGCTTATTAACAGTCTCATTCTTACTATATTTCCTCAGAGTTTTAGATAAGTGTCCTGTCTATGTACCTGTTTTTAAAAATAAACTTGCTTTGGCCAGGTGTGGTAGAACATGCCTTTAATCCCAGTGACTCAAGAGGCTGAGGCAGGAGGATCACAAGTTCAAAGCTAGCCTAAGCAACTTAGGGAGACCCTGTCTTAAAATAAAAAATAAAAAAGAGCTGGGAATGTAGTTCAGTGATAAAACACCCATGGGTTCAGTCCTTGGTACAAAAAAGTAAAATAATAAACTTGCTTTGAAATATAAGTGATATTTTTAAGAAGAATGTTTTTTCCAAAACCATCTACATTTTTAAAAGTCTGATTTAAATATTTTGAATTTTTAGAAAACCATTGTCAACAATTATGATTATTTACTAAGAAATGGAGATTCTCCTTTAAGTGTAATAAAGAAAAAATATAGAGGTTTACCTGTTTGATGTAGTGTGAGAACTTAGATGGGCATGGATATTCCATGAAATTCTGACCATAGGCTCAGACCTAACCAGAGAGTTAGACTGGGTTTGCTTTTGGTTTCAGCACACAAGCTACAACTTGTATTTATCTTAACCAGATGGCTCACTATAGGCAGGAATGGGCCACTTAAGAGAAAAATTTTCAGTTGCCTGTCTGGCAGTTTTGTTTCAGAGACGATTTTTTTTTATTTCTTTGTGTTAGCCCTGGATAACACCTATGGTCACAGCACACACCTGGCTATTTCCAGAGCCTTGTGTCCTTTTAACCTCTTGCTGGATTTCTCTGCATTCTCTACAGAAAGATTGTAAGTAAAATAGATGGCGACAAGGACGGGTTTGTCACTGTGGATGAACTTAAAGACTGGATTAAATTTGCACAAAAGCGCTGGATTTACGAGGATGTAGAGCGACAGTGGAAGGGGCATGACCTCAATGAGGACGGCCTCGTTTCCTGGGAAGAGTATAAAAATGCCACCTACGGCTACGTTTTAGGTAGGTCCCTACTATCTGGGGGAAAAAGTCTTGCGGAGCCGGCACCTTGAAACGTAACTATTTTGTCTTGTAGAATGATTGTAGATAAAATAGACGCGGATAAAGATGGGTTTGTGACGGAGGGGGAGCTGAAAACCTGGATTAAACACGCCCAGAAGAAATACATATATGACAATGTTGAAAACCAATGGCAGGAGTTTGATATGAATCAAGACGGCTTAATCTCCTGGGATGAGTACAGAAACGTGACTTATGGCACGTACCTGGGTAAGGGGCAAGATGTCAGCTTGGCCGAGACTATGGTCTTGAGTCAAAGAAACAAATGGGTCACACAGTAAAGGAAAGGAAGAAATTGTGCCTACCCTAATTAATTTAATACTGAACTGATTCCCTTGCATCTTATTAATTTTAAATTTGTATATTGTGTATTTTTAAATTTGCTTAATTGTGGTTTTCTGAAGTCTAGCATCTTCTACATCATTAGCATTGCAAATATTTTACCATTTTTTTCTATCATCCCTCATAAGAACAATTTTTGGAGTAGAACTCATTTAAAAGGCTGCATTGTACCAATGATGAAAAGCAAGAGACCTTTGGATGTCTCTTAATCCAGTCACACAAAGATGGTGGACCTGAAATTCAAACCAAATTAGATTCCTTYATAATTGGGGAGAAGAGGAAGAAAATCACTGCTTTTCTTAAAATAAAATACAAATAAAACAGCTTCCCTTGATAAAATTTAACTGCTTCAGTATATCTGCTTACTGAAGTTTAGAAATAAAGATTTCCCATTTGTTTTCTCTGGCACATGAGTTTATCAGCCTGCTTTGCAAATGCTCCAAGGCAGATAAATGTTATTTGATTGCTTTCTGTTGATTTGGTAGCTTTTTTTGCTTCTTTGGGCCACCTGTTAGTAATTTTCTTTGATTTTGGCATTTCTATACTTGCCTGCTATGGAATAGTAGGTGGCAATCTTATGGATTTGATGATCTAGGGTGTTTTTATTTGTGAGATTCCTCTATTATACATGGTTACCATTTGCGACAAAAATATATAAAYGGCGTTTTTGCATTTTTTATCCTGGAAATTAGGCAAAATTAAGTTAAAGGAATCATTCTCCACCACTGACTAGTAGTGTATATATAAAGATCTGTTTCCCCACAAGATAGCCAGCTGTCCATGTTAATTACAAGAGTGCATACATTTCTGGTGAAGAGACTTTTATTTCTGTGTAGGGCTTGTTCTCATTCCTAAGACCAAAGTGGTAATCTCTCTCTCAATACTTGACATTTAGCCAAGAACCAAACATATCATTCATTCAATAAAGAACATGTGTATTAAAAAGCCAGCACAAATGGAGAGTCATCCTGTGTTTCTTATTTTCTGGCTGAGGCCCAACACCCTCCTGATTTTTTAGAATTAATTATAAATATAAAGCAAAGGGTAGACTATTGGTGATGTAAACAAAATGGTACATTAATAAATCTTAGCTCAGACCTAGACACAAACATGCTGCCCAGAATGCTGCTTCAACTGGTATGATTATGTACATAAAAATCTGTTGAGAGCTCTGTTGCCTCACAGGGCAGATGATTCAATGTAATGGGTATTCCTGCTGCCTGAAACTGTTCACAAGCTGAAGCACTGACTGGAGAAGCAATGTCTTTATAAGGCATCTTTCCCAGGAAGCCTGTGGGGAAATAGCCCTCAGTGGGTAATGAATTGGATTAGAAAAGTGCTGGAGAGTTTTTGTGAAAATGTGTKTTCAATTCAATTTTGAATTCAGGTATAAATAATCTTGGCTGTTAAAATCTGTTTCAATTAATCTACTCTTCACAAAAGGAATGTTAATATTGCCTGTACCCCAAGTAAGATACCAAATACTAAAATCCTCTCTGCCTATACCAAAATTAGATTAAATGGCCAACCAGAGGCTGTGTACAGGCCAGGAAAGTCTATAAAATGGTGCTTAGGATAAGTATAGAAGCCCAAGCAGGACTGTAGGTGTATAAATTTCATCTTTAAAAATAATGCATTGCGGKGCTGGAGTTGTGGCTCAGTGGCAGAACGCTCGCCTAGCACGAGTGAGGCCCTGGGTTTAAGTGTCAGCACCACATATAAATGAATAAATAAACATTGTGTCCAGCTACAACTTAAAAAATATTTTAAAAAATAATGCATTGCATCCTTTTCCATTCTTTTATATGTACACGTTGCTATTAGGTTGCTTGATGCTAGTCACCACKTTTTATCCCAGAGGAGGGGAGGAGGGCTTTTAGCTGAGAATCTAATCTGAAAATGTGAAGTGACTTTTTCTCTTATCTTCTTTCTGATACATAGTTGGTACTGCAATTTGGTATTTGTTTAGAAGAGATGACTTAGTATCTGAGAAAGATGGTATTTTCCATAAATTCTGCATCTCCCTCCTGTTCTGGCTTTCAGTATTCAAATATAGAGTCCCAAAGCCTTATGAGGCAATAAGCTGTCTCATTATATTTTTGACACTCAACAAAGAAAGAAGCTTCAAGCTGCTTGGCTCTCAAAATAGATCCGTTTTTGGTTTTGTTTTTTAAACTGTGCTTAAAATATGGAAAGATTGAACTGCAATATCAGAGGTCAGTGGTATGATCTTTCTGTTAAAGGGGCCCTGTAGGTCTTAAAAAAAAGTGCCCTTTTTATTTAATCTATATATTACAGGAACAATAATTTCTTACCTTTAACGTGGTGTCTTTTCAAAGTATCTTCATGTCTGCTATCTCATTTGGTTTATATAGTAACTCAATAACTTTTTTATTTTTTGTGGTTAACTCCTTTGCCATTTTTTCAGCTTATGGAAATTAAATTTTATTCTTCTAGATTCTTATAGTATCTGCTACTTGTGTGGTTAAACATAACAAATAGGACTAAATTCAGTTGTAATCTAATGTCTATTTTTACATAACAGCCTAAGCAATGTACAATTGCATATTAAAATGCACAATTAATGAGTCTGATATATGTATACACCAGTGAAACCATCACTACAGTCAATATAATGAGCATATCTATCACCTCTCCCCCCCAAAAAAATTTTCTCATATCTTACCTTCCATATATTCCTGTCCCTAAGCAACCACTGACCTACTCTCTGTAACTCTAGGTTAGTTTGTATTTTCTAGAATTTCATGTAAGTGGAAGATAAATAATACWTGTAACTCATGATAGGTAAAATGTAACCTCTTAAAGAGGTGMTGTTCTGTTGCTTAACTCCAAATGTCTTTAAAATGAGGCTGAAGGTCTTTGATATCTATCTTATTAATGTTTAATAAAAATAACAATAATTGACATTTATTGAATGCCAACTCTATGCCAGGCATTGTTCTAAGTGCTTGACTTAGTTCTGTTGTTGCTGGTTCTCACTTGAACCTCATAACAACCCAGTGAGGCAGGCATCATTATTATCCTCATTTTACAGATGAGACTGAGGCACAATTAAGTTATTCACCCAGGGCCACACAGCTAGGGATGGTAGACTTCAAACTCAGTATGGCATTAGAACCACCACTGCCTCCCAGATATAACTAGGAAATTCAAGCCTTAAAATCAATAACAATGAAACATTACATGTTGAGTTAAGTAACCCAGGAGACAGAGTTCCATGTTGATTGGCAGACATTTACTTCAATTTGGACCTGACTGAGATATGATTGATTACTGGAGCTTCATCCCAAAATTGTATGTCTTTAGGCTGCTGCCTGTGTAATCAAGAATTATTTCTTCATCACTTGGTTTTTTTATTTCTTGGAAATTGATTGTCCATACTATATATTTTTGTATTTTCTTTCCATATTTGACCTAAATGTTTGTTTTCTAGATGATCCAGACCCTGATGATGGATTTAACTATAAACAGATGATGGTTAGAGATGAGCGGAGGTTTAAGATGGCAGACAAGGATGGAGACCTCATTGCCACAAAGGAAGAGTTCACAGCGTTCCTGCACCCTGAGGAATATGACTATATGAAAGACATAGTAGTGCAGGTGGGTGAGATCGGGGTTCTGAACAGGAATTCAGTTTCTCTTTTGGTTATTATGCTGTCTCCTCTCTTGAACCTTTCCTGTAATTTTGGAAGAATGACTAGTTTTTCAAGTACTGGCTGGATTCAGAGTCCAGGTTCTGTCACTGCCTGACTCCTGCCTACTATGCATCCATCCATCCATCCATCCATCCATCCAACTATCCATAGTGGAGATTGAACCCAGGGGTATTCTAAACTGAGCTACATTCCCAGCCCTTTTAATTTTTTATTTTGAGACAGGGTTTTGCTTAGTTGTGGTCCTCCTGCCTCAGCCTTCTGAATAACTGGGAATTCAGGCAATTGCTAYAGTGCCTGGCTCTGTCATGGTTTTTTCCTAAGTGCCTTAGGCTTTCTGTTTATCATGACATTACTTGACATCAAATGATGTATTTTGCCATTTCATTGGTAGGAAAATCCTTTTTAAAAAAATATCCCCCAGTCAATTACCAGAAACTAATAACAGTGATGTTGAAGAATTTTCACAGAATACAATTACTGATAACATAGACTTCCTATAGATGTAGACATAATTAATGGTCACATCTTCTATTAGCATGTCAAGAGCTACCATCTTTAAGCGGTGTCAGTGTTCTTTCAAGAAGACATAGTTATTTTAGGAAGACTCATAGTTATTTTAGGTTAATGCCAAAGAAATTGCCAATATTTGGCCTTGTGATCTCAATGACTGGGGAGACTGAGGCAGGATGATTGCAAGTTGGAGGCCAGTCTCAGTAACTTAGCAAGATCCTATCTCAAAATAAAAAAAGGACTGGGGATGTTATAACTCAGAGACACTAATATTTTACCATTTTCTAGCTAGAAAAACATCACTTTCCTATGGTTTTAAATGTACAGATACATCATACTCTTCTGTGAAATTCATTCTTCTTTTCTGTTTTAGGAAACAATGGAGGATATAGATAAGAATGCTGATGGTTTCATTGATCTAGAAGAGTATATTGGTAAGTTTCTTTTTCAAGTGTTTTTTCCTTAGAAAAAGCTGAGGCAAAAAAAGAAAAAACTGAGGCATTTGGGGAGATGTAATCACCCATAGAAACAATTTTTCCCATGATTCAGCTCTTCAGAGATCATTAAACCATACCAGTGTGATGAATAGTGGGTTGTGGTAAACTATCTATAGTAGCACTAACCAATCAAAATGGAAATGTGACCCACATATGTAATTTCTATTTTTTAATAGCCACATTAATAAGTAMAAAGAAGGGCTGGGGATATGATTCAGTGGCTAAGTGCCCCTGGGTTCAGTCCTTGGTGTCCCCCCAAAAAAAAATGTAAAAAGAAGAAGATGAGATTAATTTCAAGATTGTATTTGATATTTCAAAATACTATAATTTCCCCTTATTAATATAAATTGTTGAGCCTGTAATTCCAGCGGCTCAGGATAAGTTCAAAGCTAGCCTCAGCAAAAGTGAGTTGATAAGCAATTCAGCAAGACCCTGTCTCTTAATAAAGTACAGAATAGGGCCCCTGAGTTCCATCCCTGGTACCCCTCCCAAAAGAGGGGGAGGGGTGGGGATGTAGCTCAGTGATTGAGTGCCCCTGGGTTCAATTCCTGGTACCACAAAAAAATTAAAAAATAATTTTTTTTTTAACACTTATGTATAGCACATGCCAGTGTGGACTAGCCACATTTCAAGGATTTGATACCTACATGTAGCTAGCGCATACAGTCTTCTGCAGCACAGATAATAGTGTATCCCAGATGCCCTGATGAATTGATAGTAAATAGTTACAGGGAGCTCAGAGAGGCATTCAGAAACTCAGGAAGAAGAACTGGGGAGTAGATTAAAAGAGCTGGTTATTTCAGGGATCAGCTCTCTAATAACCTTGTCTTTTTATTATGTTGTATTCATGTTTTCTGTCTGGCACTAGTTTTCTTTTTGTTTAGGGTTATTTTTCTGTTTTGGTTTTCTGTTTCCATTTTCCTTTTTGGTTATCTGTTAATTTTCTTGGGGGCAGGATACTCCGTCATTGGGGCTAATTTCTTCCAAGTAAAGCTCTGGTTCTTTTTTATCAGAATGATTTGAAGATTTTCCTGTGGCTTTTTAAAAAAGAGCTACTTGTCTTACCAAGTAGTTGAATAAACTATTTCACAATTACTAAATATCCTTGTTACAAATGTTATTCTATTTTGAAACATATTAGATATTTTTATACTTCACATCTTTATTCTTTGTTTGTTTGTTTTTGGTGGTACTTTGAATTGAACCCAGTGCCTCACCCAGGCTAGGCAAGCACTTTATCACTGAGCATCCWTTTAATTTTTAATTTATATATAATGATTGTACATGTTGATGAGGTAAGTATGACAATATACAGTATGATGAGGTACAGGTATACAAAGTATAACGAGCAAATCAGTGTAGTTAGCCTTTCCTAAACATTTATATTTCTTTGTGTTGGGAACCATTGAATTCCTCTCTTTTGGTTCTATAAATATAAATAATAAATTGTTATAAACTGTAATTTTCTATAGTGCTGTAGAACACTATAACTTATTTCTCCTGTCTGACTTATCTTTTGGTGTCCATTATCCAGCCTCCCTTTATCTACCTTCCCCCTACTCTTTCTAACCTTTAACAATCACTGTCTTCTTCTATCAAATCAACTTCTTTAACTTCCTTCTAGGAAAAGAATATGCCGTTTCTCACTCTCTTTTTTAATATTTATTTTTTAGTTGTAGTTGGACACAATACCTTTGTTTTATTTGTTTATTTTTATGTGGTGCTGAAGATCAAACCCAGGGCATTGCACACGCTAGGCAAGTGCTCTATTGCTGAGCCACAACCCAAMCTCCCCCGTTTTTTTCTTCCTGTGCCTGATTTATTTCACGTAACATATAAATGTCCTCTAGTTTCACCTGTGTTGCTGGATATGAGAGATTTTATTATTATTATTTTGGCTAAATAACATTCCATTGTGTGTATATACACCACATTTTCTTTATTCAGCCATCAGTGTATACCTTAGTTGATTATTGCCTAACCTGGCTGTTGTGAATATTGCTGCAAAAATATGGGGATGCAGGTGTCTATTTTTTTTTTAACCTTTATTTAATTTTTTTATGTGATGCTGAGGAGAGAATCTAGTGCTTCTCACATATGCTAGGCAAGTASTCTACCATTGAACTACAACCCCAGCCCACAGGTATCTCTTTGATATACTGATTTCATTTTCTTTGGACATACAACCAATAGTGAAATGAGTGGATCACATGTGTCTTTAATTAGGTTTTGTTGTTGTTTTGAGGACTCCATATTGTTTTCTTTTTTAGTACCATGGTACTGGGGACTGAACTCAGCGGTGCTTAACCTTGAGCCCCATCTCCATACTGTTTTCTGTAATGGCTGTGCTAATATACATTCTCATCAACAGTGTATAAGAGTTCCCCTTTCTCCACATCCTCTCTAACATTTGTTGTTTTTTTCTTTTGTCTTTTTTTCTGATAGCCATTTTAACTGGGGTGGTACCTCATTATATATAATTTTTGGTTTTCATTTCCCTGATGATTAGTGAGTRATGTTGAGCATTTTATTTATACCACAAACACACACACACACACACACACACACACACACRCACACACGGTTGGCCATTTGTATGTCTTCTGAGAAATATCATTTGCCCACATTTTAATTGGGTTATTTGTTGTTTGTTTATTTTGCTGTTGAGTTTCTTATATATTCTAGATATTAACCCCTTATCAGATGAATAGTTGACATTTTTTCCCATTCTGCTTGTTTTCTCTTCACTTCATTGTTTACTTTAATATACTGAAGCTTATTAGTTTAATATAATCTCATTTGTCTGTTTTTACTTTTGTTTCCTGGGTTTTTGGTTTTGGGGGTCTTATCCAGAATATCACTGCCTATATTGATGTCTTAAAAATGTTTCCTCTCTGCTGGGGTTGTGGCTCAGCAGTAGAGCACTCGCCTAGCACATGCGAGGCCCTGGGTTCGATCCTCAGCACCACATAAAAATAAATAAATAAAGATATTGTGTCCAACTAAAAAATAAATATTTTAAAAAAAATGTTTCCTCTCTGTCTTCTTCTAGTACTTTTTAAAGTTTCAGGTTTTACATTTAGGTCTTCAGTCCATTTTGAGTTGATTACTGTATGTGGTAGGAGATGAGGGTCAAGTTTTGGTCTTCTGAATATGGATATTCAATTTCCTCTGCACCATTTATTATAGAGGCTGTCCTTTCTCTGATGTATGGTTTTGGCACCTTTATCAAAAATCATTTTGGCTCAGTGGTAGAGCACTTGTCTAGCATGTGCAAGGCACTAGGCTTGATTCTCAGCACCACATTAAGAAAAACTAAATAAAATTGTGTCCATCTACAATTTAAAAAATATTTTTAAAAAATCAATTGGCTCTAGAGACTGGGGATGTAACTCAGTGGAAAGAGCACTTGCATTGCATGCATGAGGCCCTGTGTTCAATCCTCAACATTGAAAAAAAATCACTTGACTATAGATGTGTAGATTTCTGGGTTCTCTGTTCTGTTGATATTTCACATCTTATTTTTGCTTATAGTTCTAGTGAACCACTGCTTTATTTTTAGATCTCTTATCTTTACCTGAAATACTTATTTTAAGTCTGTAAGGGAGACTAAAGACCTACTTCTATCAACTGCATTGAACAGTCTCTACTTAGATATTGTCTAATCATACCTACTAGAGAAAGAGGGATGAGCAATGAAAATAGCTCCCCCCACCAAAGTTTTTTTTTTTTTTTTTTTTTTTTTAATTGGAGTTCATCAGGATAGTGGATAAATGTCTGAGTGTGTTTTCTGAGTCCAGGTTGATATTTATAGGATTTTCTACTTTTAAATGTTTTTTTTTTCATTCTTCTCTTTTGCCATTTTATCATCATTGTTTAGGTTTAGATTTATCACTATTAAKTATTACCACTTGCCAAGCATTGAGGCCACATGAGGAGATGTTTCTGTTTTCTGCCACATAAGGAGATACTTCTGTTTTCTGTATCATAATAGATTAAAAAGCACAGGGATTATATCTTGAAACTACAAGAACTGTCAAGTATGTGTGCACATCTGTGTGTTACTTCCTTTTATAAGTCAGTAACTAATGGAGACACTTTTACACCTGGGGTGTTGGTCTCTATAAATCTTAAAGTCTCTCCAATACATTTTGTAGTTTCTAGGGCTGTGCCAGTTTCTGTCCTGTTRAGGAAAAAGATCATAAAGAAGCAAAGTTGTTTGCCTCTTACATGTAGCATTAATAAGAGGCCTCAGAGTTATGCTGTTCTTTTGTTTTTTTCAATTTATTACAGAGTATTGTAAACATGCACAAAATTAGAAGAATATAATGACCCCTATGCCTCAACAACCATCAACCCTCCGCCACATCCACTTCTTCCCCTTTTTTTTTGTTTGTTTTGTTTTGTTTTTGTATCTGGCATTGAACACAGGGATGTTTAACACTGAGTCACATCTCCAGCCCTTTTTATTTTTTGAGCTAGRGTCTCTCTAAGTTGCTTAGGGCCTTGTTAAATTGCTAAGACTGGTTTTGAATGTGCAATCCTCCTGCCTCAGCCTCCAAATTGCTGGATTACAGGCATGCACTACCACACCCGGCTTCCTTCTTTTTTAAAAAAATGGAAKGAAGGAAGGCAGAACTGGTAAAGAAGCCATCATTTTTTAAAAAATGTTTTTAGTTTTAGATGAACACAATACCTTTATTTGTTGATTTCGGGGTTTTTTTTTTTTTTTTAAATGAGGTGCTGGACATAAAACATTGAGCCACAACCCCAGCCCCTGGCTTCCTTTCTTATTTTGAAGTAAATCCTAATCATCGTCTCATTTCATCTATAAACATTTGGTTATGCATCTCTAAAATAAATGTGTATTTCTAAAAACTTCTTAATCTCAACCAAAAAATTTCTGATCCTTAATATTATCCAAGGATTAAATCCTTTTTAAGTAGAATTCAAATAATATTTTTTATGTCTTTACTCATCTACCCCTAAAATGCTCATTATATTGGGGTTTTTTTCCTTTTCTTTTTTTCGGTGGTGGTGGTAGGGATTAAACCCAGGGCCTTGTGCATGTGAGGGAAGCACTCTACCAACTGAGCTATATCCCCAGCCTTATATTGTATTTTCTAGCTTCTATGAAAATAATATATATATTTTAAAATTTGTTTTAAGTAGTTATAATACATGACAGTAGAATGCATTTTGACACACTSTACACAAATGGAGCACAACTTCTCATTCCTCTGGTTGTATGTGGTATAGAGTCACACCAATAGTGTAATCATACATATATATATAGGGCTGTAATGCCTGTCTCATTTTACCATCCTTTCCCTCCCCACAGCCCTATCCCTCCCCTCACTCCCCTCTGCAGAATCCAAAGTTCCTTCATCTTCCCTACACCCCTCACCTCCCCCTCACATACACACTATGGATCAGCATCCGCTTATCAAAGAAAACATTTGGGCTTTGGGAAAACTATGTATTTTAAACATATTTCCATTCCCTCTCTAATTCTGAACTTTCCAATCTGTATACTGTAAATAAGTCTTCTTGACCCTTGAGTAATTGGTACAGGACCCTGGCTTCTGAACCTCATATAAATACATTTTCTGAATATACTATAATAGCCTGGAGAATTTGGCAAGGTTGAAATTCTGAAGAACTTCTTGATAAAGTCAGAGGAAGTGAGTGAATCTGTTCTTAATCCCTAGGTTTTGGAAAATGACAGTACTGACTGACTCCTTTGCTTAGAGTTTCTAGAAACTATTTATCCTTTTTAGGTTTGCTCCCATGTCTTACATGAGATGCAGGTGCATTTAATTAGATATAGTATGAAGTATCTTAGTTCTGAAATATATCTCTAAAATTTGATAAATTAAAAATAAACACCATAGCTACTTCCTACTCATCATTCATGTGAATAATTTGAACAAACTTTATTTTTGTTTTTGCTTTTTTGTGATTTTGTTGTCACTGGAGATTAAACTCAGGGCTCTTTAACACTAAGCTACATCCCCAGCCCTCTGTATTTTTCACATTGATACATGGTCTCATTGAGTTGCTTAGGGCTTTGCCAAATTGCKGGAGCTAGCCTCAAACTTGGCAATCCTCCTGCCTTAGCCTTAGAGGCTGGGATTACAGGCATGTGCCACCATGGCCAGCTTGGACAAACCAACTTTAAAAAAAGAATCAGAAAGTTCAAATTTGGACTGGGTATTAAGATTATACCAAGGAATTGATTTTATWAAACATAACAGATATATTCTAGAATACATAGTGTGAGGGATTACCTGGGATTTGTCCTAAAATAATTCAGGGAGATAAAGTGATAGTATAAGTAGAATGTTTATTATGATGCCTAGAAATYAATAAGCTACTCAATAAATGTTAGCGGCTATGTCTTCATTTAAGAACAATTAAAAATGAAATAGTTCTTTGGTACTGTATTATTTTAAATAATAGCATTCAGTTGGTAATAGTGTGACCATTGTTTGTTTAATTTTGTAGGCATTTGGGAATCTTTTTCTCATTTACTGATGACAAAACTGACAAGAAATAGTATTGTCTTGAATTAGCAATTCTCTACTATTTTTATACTGTCTCGTTTCTTAATTCTATTTTTAATTTACTTTCCCCACAGAAGTATCTAAAAGCCTTTAATCACCTTGACGTAGTTATGCAAGTATATTCTATATATACAAATACTTGTTTCCTAAGCTCTTAAGTATGTTTAAGTGTTGTTTTTAAGTCTTTTCTACGTTCAGTTACTGTTACAATTATTAATAAACAGACAAAATAACATTTACTACAAACATGTTCATATTAAACAACAATGTATCTCTTTGCTACCTTTTTTCCTAGTAGTTTTGTATTTATAGATGGCAGTTACTTCCCATTAGAGTAAAATAATTCAACACTAACTCCTAATTTTATTTTTTTGAAGAGTAGATACTAAGAGACCTGATTTATATAAGTTGATGGGAATGGAATATTTTTATAGCAGTATCATTTAGTTTTTGGAATACCTTTTGACTTATATGAAAAAATCAATTGATCTGTCATCAAAAATTATTTTTAATGATCCCATGGCTAAAACTCAATTAGAACCTCTTTTCAGGTTTTTGGGTTTTTTTAAGCAAAGCCTTTAACATTTGTTATGCATTTTTTCAAACATCTTTCTTAATACCAACACTAATGTTTCTAATTGGCACTTTTTTCATCATCGTGGAGTGGAGCTTTTTACACTGTAAAGTTTCACAATGGCTGAGAGAATATGCCTCTCTTGTATACTGTGAGAAAGGGTAATGATAAAGGGGAGACAGGAAAGAAGCCTTGAGGGCCAGAGCTATATTCTGCAGATAAGCTTTTTAGGGAAATTGAAAGTTCAGGACATGAAATTTGATTCTTTCCTGTCTGGTCCTTTCCTGTGTACTCCTTGACAGTGTTCCTATTTACCCAGGGGCATGTTGCCCTGACTAAAGACCACTGGTATAATGCATTTTATGTAGGAGTTGATTAGTTGGTTTAGTAGTTTGTTCTGGCTTATGACATAACATTTCTAAGTTTTCCAGAGAATTTAAAACTGTGCTTTTTAAACTAGTGGTCCAATTTAAGTAGCTACCAAAATAAAACGTTGGGAATAACTAGTCCACCTGTCATGGTGCTGATCAACTCATCTTATTTCTGTATATCTTAAGATAATAAGGCGTCTCTTTGCTTTTGTGTAACTCAAAGTCAATAGCTGGAAATGGTCTTTTTGTGAGATTATTAATTAATCTCAGGAAAATAAGCTTCTTTCTAAGGGTTCTGGCCTGAAGTACCAATATAAATTGCTATTAGGTTGAAAACAGATGAAGAAGGGTTAGACCAAATTAGCATGAGGCAGTCTTTGGAAAAAAGACAAACTTTTTTTTGTATGTATTTCTRTGCACACAGGTGACATGTACAGCCATGATGGAAATGCAGATGAGCCAGAATGGGTGAAGACAGAGCGAGAGCAGTTTGTTGAATTTCGAGATAAGAACCGTGATGGGAAGATGGACAAGGAAGAAACCAAAGACTGGATACTCCCCTCAGACTATGACCATGCAGAGGCAGAAGCTAGGCACCTAGTCTATGAGTCAGACCAAAATAAGGTAAGTCTGAACAGGCCAAAGTAGCCTAGTAATATGAGTCTGTTTCTAAGGAAAACAGACTAAAAAAATTGCCTAAAAATTTTTTTGTCAAGATACTTAGAGCATTTAAGATCTTAATTAATGTGTCTGCTTAGGATTTAAATTTGGCAGTTGAAAACTTTGAAGGCAACACTTGCTCTCTGGTCTCATTTTAGTAATCTCTGCCCAGTGTTCAAGGTGTTGGAGGAACCTGGGCTGCATAAAAGAGCCTCTGTGTAGCCTGCCTCCACACAGCCGTSCATCACTTATTATCTTTGGATACTCAGGAAATTTTCTTTTTATTTTTTTGCTTTGTTACTTCCTTTGTTCTTTTTTTTTTTTTTTTTTCCTTTAACCTATTACTTATTCTGCCTGCTGGTTATTTCCTTCTTAAATGTACTTTAAAATTTTTTTTTTAAATAGAGAGTTATAAATCAGCTTTTCCTTGGAATTTATTAAAATTGTCTTTGATCGATTATCTGAGATATACAGTTCATTAAGAATAGTGTTAATAGGTTGGGGTTGTGGCTCAGTGGTAGAGTGCTCACCTAGCACGGGAGAGACACTGGGTTTTATCCTCAGCAACATATATAAATAAATAAATAAATAAATAAATAAATAAATAAATAAATAAATAAATAAATAAAATAAAGTTATTGTGTCCAACTACAACTAAAGAAAAAAGAATAGTGTTATCACTATACTCTGTCACTTTTGACAGAGATTTGAGTATTGTGGTTAAAATAAACTGAAAGTCTAAAGATGGGGATTTCTGTTATTTTGAACATTATATTATCTAGGCTAATCTTCAGTTTCAGATGCAGAATCTTAGAAACCTTTTAAGGTTGGTCTGTTTTGAGTTCTTACTCAGTCACTTCAGTTGCCAACTGCCTTGTCTTAGCTACATGAGAGAAGGAAATATGAGCAGTTGTCCCTTGGGAATCTTAATACTGTTTGAGGTGTGTGTCAGAGTCTTTGTTTGGGTGTATCTAATCTGGTTGGTGGCAAGGACAGAGGGAGGTGCAGGCTAGATTTGATACTGGCAGACTTCAWTGTTCCTATTAGATAGCAACTTGGTTGATTCACTTTGAAGTATTGTCCATTTGTTATTGGCCATCTCTTGCCCATATCTAACAGATGTTTTACATGTTAACAGTTTGCTCTTCAGTCTTGGAACTTTTGAGCTATATTAATCACCACCCTTTCAGTTTTAACTTTCTTAATAAGAGAAACATTCATTGTTATTTTCTCCCTCTGTGTATATATGGAAGAAAGATTTAGGTTGAATTCACATTTAATTAAATCCTGAATAACCCATGTTCTCTAGTAGTATTTCTGTATTTGGAATAGGAAATATTCTGCCTCAACTCACTGCTTTCTCTGATTTCAGGATGGCAAGCTTACTAAGGAGGAGATTGTTGACAAGTATGATTTGTTTGTGGGCAGCCAGGCCACAGATTTTGGGGAGGCCTTAGTACGACATGATGAATTCTGAGTTGCAGACAGAGGAACCCGTGTTTCTTCAAAAGTAATTTATTTTTACAGCTTTTGTTTTCACATGAAATTGTTTGCGCTACTGAGACTGTTATTACAAACTTTTTAAGACATGAAAAGGCGTATGAAATAATGAAAATCATCCCGTCCCCATTCCTCCTCCTCTCTAAGGGACTGGAGGGAACTGCTTCTGAGGAACAACTCTAATTAGTACACTTGTGTTTGTAGATTTACACTTTGTATAATGTATAACATGGTGTGTTTATTTTTGTATTTGTTCTCTATTGGGAGTATGATATGAAGGATCAAGATCCTCAACCCACACTTGTAGGCAAAAATTAGCCCTTTACTCTTTCTCAACCCCTTATRTAATTTTTATAATTCTCATTTAACTAATATTTTAAGCCTGAGATCAATAAGAAGTGTTGAGAAAAGCAAGGAAAATTATATGCTCCATGATTTATATTTAGAGAGAACACTTAATCTTGCCTATGAAAAGTCTTACATTTCACATGTAGTAGTCTGGCATTTCATGTTGCATTCAGTTGCTATGGGTTCAGCAATTGGTCCTGCCATTTCTGGTCAGGGACAGAATCCCTGTGCTCTAAGAAAGCTTGGCTCAACTTGACTTTATTCTTTTTTCCCCTGTAGAACTAGTTACTTGCTAATTTTGTCAAGCACAGCTGTGATAGGAAGTTAGGGCCAGTGTCTTGAAAATCAATCAAGTAGTGAGTGCAGTCTCTTTACAGAGTTAATTCTAGCTTTTTATAGAGCAGTTTCCAGCTAGAAACAGCTGGAAAACTAAAGGAACAATATAAGTGTGTTCAGGGCATACATTTTTTTCTGGGTGTGCATCTGTTGAAATGCTCACAACAACATTATTTGCCTGTTGAAATCACTTTAAGTTCTCCAGGAGGCTCTTCTTCCCCAGGAATTAATCTTGATGTCATTGCAGTTAAAATTCACTCCTTGCCGGCATGGTGGCACATGCCTGTAATCCCAGCAACTTGGAGGCTGAGGCAAGAAGATCTCAAGTTTGAGGCCAGCCTCAGCAACTTAGCAAGACCCTGTCTCAAAAATAAAAAATAAAAAGGGCTGAATGTAACTCAGTCATAGAGCATCCTGGGTTCAATTCCCAGTACCAAAAAAAAAAAAAAAAAAAAAATCCTTTCCGATCATGTCATAAAAAGTGCCTTTAACGAGATACGATCATTGAATGGGAATTTGCTTAAGAAACCCTAAGATCAAATGAAGAGATTATTTAGACCATCTTATATGAAAGCTTAAACCCTCCCAATGTAGTGGGGATTTCTTCCCCTTTTCTCTTTTGGATGATAGTTAAATAGCAGTATTAGTTACAAGCTTGGTTGCAGTGTTCTTATCTTGTGGGCTGGTTTCCAAAAACCAGGTGCTGCTGACTTTACCAGGGATCCTCATACCTCGGAATGCAAACCACTCACTACAAGGCCTCTCTGTGTCCACCCTAGAGCTTGAGCTCAGACTCAAGGGTAGGAGGACCTGCAGATAGGGGACTCTTTGGTTTGAGGACCATTGCTCACTCTTCCTGCCTTTGACCATCACACCCCATTCCCTCATTCCCTCCCTCTCTGATGCCAAAAAACAAAAATGGTTTGTCCTGGATCATCAGGTATTCTATTGTTATCAAAGAGAGGAACCCTATAAAAGGAGCTGAAGAAACCACCCTCTTTCCAACTCCATTTTAACCATATTTTATATAATAAACTGTCCACTTTAGTCTCTTACTGATGGACCTCTTCTGAGAAGAACTATTCCAAATCTTTTTAGCCCTCAGGTTACTAAGATAAATAAATATATATAAAACCTTTATTATTTTCTGTATCGCTGGATAATACATTCAGGTGGTGCTGAGTGATGATTGTATCTGAACCTAGGTATATCCCTTGGTCTTCCACAATCCTGTTGAGGTGGGCTGCTTGGTGTGGTAAAGAGCCAGGTGTCACTTCACCCCGGCCTTTGCATCAAGCTCTCAATAGAGGATATACTCTTTACATTTAACCCCAGTATAGATAATGGACATTCTCCACCTCCAGATTCCCCCTTTTTATTAACACCAGAGATAATAAATAATGCCACCACCCTAGCTTAGGTAGGGCACATTATGAACTGTATGAGCCTCAAGGTTTATTAGGTGCAGAGAGCACAGGCATGACATAGAATCATGCACTTAGACAGCAAACCATAATCTGCTAGGATGGCAGCTTTTGGATGTGGGGACTCGCCAGCAAGCATTGTACTCTCATCTCTATGAGCCCCTTGGAGTGTTTGTGGTTTATTGGGGGAGGGTGGGTTTTTTTTTGGGGGGGGGCTATTTGTTTAAATCAAACCTGAGGCTGGTGATGAGTAGCTMCACACCCACAGTATGTATTCTGTGAGTGCTAGTTCTCTTAAATTTGGATATTGGTTATTTTTTATAGAGTGTAAACCAAGTTTTATATTCTATAATGCAAACAGGTACCTATCTGTTTCTAAATAAAACTGTTTACATTCATTGTGGATGTGCGTCCTTCATTCTTGTGGGAATAGAGCTCTAGCTTAGAATTATGGATGCTATGTTACAGAAAAGGACCTCCTAGAAGATTCAGCACACCACTCAATCTCAGAGAAAGTACTACCTTCTCTCAAACTGATTACTCCTTTTCTCCTATTTCTGAAATTGCCTAGTATCCTCTCTCATAGCTATAATCCTTCTGAGCTATTTGTAGGCCATGTCACTGGAGAGGAACCCAGCTGCTCATTGCATACCTGATACCAACAGACACCATTCTTTGTATGATAGATATACGCGTTTATCTTGGGTTTTATTCAAAAAGGCTCTTCTTCAGGGAGTAGAAGGAGGCTATAAAGTGAAACACTTTGGTATAGTTTATAAGGGATAATAAGATATGCAAATTAATTTTGAGACCATCAAGGTAATTAAACTATTTTAATAAACACACAGCTTAAGACATATATTGATTTAGCCAAATGCAGGCAGGGGGAAGCACCTAAGAATAAACCTGGCTCAGGGGCTTCTAGACATAGTTATCCCTACCAAAGCTGTAGCAGTTACTTGCAGAGATAGCATAAGGAAGTTCTCTCACACTCATTTGGGGTCTACCAAGGGGTTTTTTGTTTTTGTTTTTTTATTTTATATGTATATATAATATATATTTCTAAAGCATTTTAATTCAGAATACATCACTTCAGAACTGATCYTCAGTAGGGGGAGAAAGGTCACTAAAAAGGAACAAAAGTGTTATCTACACTCTGAAAAACCAGCTATGCTCTTTTATGGTTCTCCAAATGCTGTAAAGGGTGCCTCTTAGGAGTAGAAACTGGTGATTGTTGAAATGGCTTTTGGGTGGTCTGAAGTAGACCTTGCCGAAACAGCTTTATAGACAGGAAGGGAATAGTAGAAAGATAAAAAAGTGACTTCACAAAACTGCCCTCATTCCCCTTCCCATCTCCTTACTGTGTTGTTAGTAGTTAGGTTTTTGATGGAGAGCATGAAAACTTACTTAAATGACGTTCTAGTTGGCTGCAAACAGGTCAACATGGGGTTCCTAGTTGGGACCAACTTTGCTAGAAGAGACAGTGGAAACTTCTGTTTTCTGGGAGCTGGACACCTCAGATTCATCTGTCATGGGCTTCCTACACACCATCTCCATGATACAAGCTCGGAACTGGAGGGAAAGGCAGAATTGGAGATAGTTCCCATGGCAGATGAATAAAAGGAAGATAACATCAGGAAGTATAGGGGGAAAGTTTTATTTTTTGTATCCCAACAGCCTCTCACAGTGCCTTATACCCAATATCTCAGGTAGTTTTGATTGTCTTCCTTATCCTAATACCTAGCTAAATTCCAGTCTAGAATCACTTGTTTCTACATGCTAGAGTTTAAAAGGGAAAGGTTTCGAAACCTTTTCACAGCCCTTTCTTGGGAGTAGATTGATTTTTTTTTTTTTTTTTTTTTTTTGGCTCAAGTTCTATCCTTCCTGGATTCTATTATCTTAAATACCATGCCTTCTTCCCTGTGCTTACCAGGGGCTTTCTAGCCTCCTTGAGGTTCCCATGGCTTCCCTTGTTCACTCCTAGAAATCCTCTGAGTAGGTCTAGGGTGTTCTGAGTTAAAAGGTGTTGGAAAAAAAAACAGTGACTTTATGGACCAGGACCTTATGGGAATGTGATAGACAACTTTACCTGCTTATTCATGAAGCTGTAGATAATGGGGTTGTAGACGCAAGAGCTCTTAGAGAAGAAGGCAGGAATGGTGACGAGCCGTAAGTCCAGCCCATGGTTGCGGTTGTTGACCATGTACATGGCCAGGGCAGCATAGGGCACGTAGCAGACACAGAAGGATCCCACCATCACTACCACCATGCGGCTCACCTCCCTCTCAGCCTTCTGAGTTGTAGCTGACTCCTGCTGCTGAGCTGCCACCTGGGGCAGAGCATAGAGAGCATCGCATCACTCTTTCCCCCAGTCTTCCAATCCCAGATCTCTGGACCCTTTTCTACTGGGAACATTCACTCTGATTGCCTTGCTTCTGGCCAGGTTCTGTTGGCTTTCCTCCCTTGAGGACAGCAGGGTGGAGGTAGCTTTCTGGTTTACAGTGATGGAAGGGATCACATGCATACATCTCTTTACACCAATTTAAGCAGCAATACTCCCTTATTCGTTCCATTTCATATCCCCCCCCACCACCACCACCACTTCCTTTACTGCTTTTTAGATACCCGTTTATCTGGCCATGAACATTTCCAGATATCTTATGTTCTACAGCATGTCACTACTCTTCCATCTCTCCTGGAGACCCCTGGTCTGCTCCTCCCTGATTCTCAAAAACCACTCACAGTTCTGAGGGTCCTCAGCAACTGAGCATAGGAGAAGCAGATGAGGCCAAGAGGTAAGATGAAGCAGAAGATGAAGAGGAACCAGGTGTAGTATTCACTGCGGTATTTAGTGCCCACAGTGTACCAGTCTGGACCACAGGAACACTGAAGGCCCTCAGGAATGAACCTGCAAAGGACCAAGAACTCAATTTACTCTGGGTTCTCCACAAGAATCAGTGGAGTGGGGCTGAGAATCCTGGATTGTGTTCTCCACTTAGAACCCAGAGAGTGCCAGGTTTGGGGCAGGGGGATTTTCTTCCTTTTAATTTTTTTTTTAACTTTTTAGATAGGGTCTGACTAAGTTATACAAGCTGATCTCAACTCTAGATCCTCCCACCTCAGCTTCCTGAATCTGGGATTATAGGCACTCAACACTGTACTTGGTGGCAGAGGAATTTTCTGGTAGAGGCCACAGTAATTCCAACTGCAAAGTGTTGATGCTCATCTCCCACAGCTCTTGCCTCACCTACTACACCAAAAAAAAAAAAAAAAATACAGGTCAAAGACTAAGTGGTTATACCCAATCTCCCTTTCTACCCATTTTAACCTGAACCCCCAACTAAGTCAGCACCACTGCCCTGTGCTCTCACCGGCTCCAACCAAAGAAGGGTGGGATGGAAACGCCAACACCAATGATCCAGGTAGCCAGAACCACCACCAGTGCATGCTTGGAACTGAAGCGGAAGTTGCCGAAGGGCTTACAGATGACAATGTAGCGTTCAAAGGCCAGGAAGGCCAGTGACCAGGCTGTCACCAGACCTGTGACAAAATGTGAGAATAGGATAGACAGAGCCCCATCCAGCCTGGCAAGTACAGTGGAAGACAGATGGGTAGAGCAAGCCCAAAGAGAGAGAATTGGCCTGATACGTTTGGAGTGGAGTTTAAAACTCAAACATTTTATTTTGGTCATATGTCTATAGTCAACTTGGGGGCCTGCTCCAAACCCATAGTCTAGTTCCTGGAGTAGTGTCCTTTGCCTCCCCAGACCCCTCTTCCCCTGTAGTACCTGCTGCAGAACCCAGGAAAGCCTCCAGAGCACAAACATGGCGGCCAAAGACGAA